ATTTTTGCGAAAACCTTTTTGATTTTGTCGTTTCGGAGTGATTCGACCCCCACACGACTCCGCGGCGACAGTTCGACTCCGAGAAAAACCTCGGCCACGAAACGAGAGCCTCCCGTTTCGTCCGGGAGACTCAACCCTTACGGCCAAAAATCCTCGGCCATGCCCCTCCTAGAACTCTGATCGGCGACCCCGTACGGGAAGCTGCAAGGGGGCGTGAGGTTGCGTATCACATGCTACAGCAGACACGAGCCTTTCATTCTTAAGTCCTGCATAGGTTGCCTCGTTAACTTCCCTTCGCATAACTGACATGTTGATTGTTTAACAGCTCGGATGATAAAAGTGGCAACAAGAGGGAAACGACTAGGGACCATGACCTGAACGCATCGGCGTTCCTACCTCACTCAAGAGGCAGTTGGGCATGATCTCCGTCGGTATGGCTCCGCCATAACAACTGCTAGGTGTGGTTCTGCGCTCTCCCCCAACTCGTCCCTTGAAGCAGCACGGAACACTTTCTCGAAAACGCCGACGGCATCACGGTTGCTGACGCAGCGCTAACTTCCGCGCGCGGAAAAGCCCTGCGTTAGCGCCCGCGAGCGTTACCGGACGTCTACGAGCCGTCCCCCCAACTTGCAATTCGTGTGCGTACCATCACATGCATTTAGGGCCTCGCCACACCACTCTTGAGCCGTCGCCACACAGCCACTTGAGAGTTGTGGCCCGAAAACTCTTTCGAGAGTTGTCAGACCTTGTTTCGAGAGTAGACTCTCGAAACTCCTAAACGCCCAGCCTGCAACTCGTGCGTTTTCAAGCGTCCTCGGCCGAACCCTTGAGGGACTTTGGTTTTTCGAGAGCTGTCTGGCCGTTATCCTGACTCCATTCGGAAAAGACAAAGCTGTACGACTGTCGTTTTTCATCTTTTGTCCAACACCATAGCCCTTTCGAGAGTGCTGTGTGGCGAAGGCGCCTCGAGGTCTCGAAAAATTTTCGCGTTTCGAGAGTGTTGTGGCGAGGCCCTTAGACTCTTTTTTTTTTTTTTTTTATTAGACTCATTTTAGAGCCATCCAGCCAAACGTGGTGGGTAAAGCGGAGATACTCCTCGTTTTACTTCAGGTGGAGCAGACTCACACTAGCACAATCTTAAATGTATCTGACCGCAATTGCGGCCCTCCTGGGATGCATCTGACGGCAATTACGTCCAGAAATAAGTAAAAAGGTCCTAGTGTGAGTATGCCCTTATTTTAGCTATGGAAAAGATGAACGTAAACGTTTTGATGCTGAAGGACGTACCATTCAGCGCCCTTGAAAAAAAAAAAAAAAAAAAAAAAAAAAACAATGTACAATTGACGTTCATCATTGTAAGCTCCAGTCAGAAAGCACATTAATTTTTTATTTTTATTTTTAAGCAAAAAAACAAGCAATTCGTTGTCAGCCGTCAAGATGACGACAGATCTACAGGGTTGGCAGTCCATCAATCAATCAAACAAACAAAAGAGAATTCAAAAAGAAACTCTCTTCCTGGGAGGAGGTCCCACTTGCAAAGAGGATTAGGTTTGACACCTGAATCTGGACCTGCTTGGCGACAGATACAGGGAACAGCTATTAATCTGCTGCATAAACCAAATCCGATTGTTTTCGCTATTGGGACCTCGCTCCTGCTCCTCTTAGCCTCCCCCCTCTGGTCCCTGCCTCCCCTGCTCCCCATTCTCCCCCCAGTCCATCCCCCCCCCCTCCTCCAGCTCTTCTTCCGCTCCCTACTTTCTCTGCCTCCTCACCTCCACCTCTCCCGCGACC